ATGCTAAATAGTRTGCTCTGATTTTTAATATTTTATTTTGATTGGATTTGATTTTTAATATTTTGATTTTAATTATATTTTGATTAAAATTAATTGATGTTTTTTTTGTTCATCTTTTTTTATATTTGAACTTTAATCTTAACTTATTTTATTATAGTTAATATATAATTTAATATCAATTTTTTCTGTAAACAACGCCATCAAATATTATTAATTAATTTATTATTATTATTATTATTATTATTATTATTATTATTATTATTATTAATATCATTTTTTGCCTGTTTTCATACTTTGTAGGTTGGTAGTTTTTGTCTGTCAGAAGCTTCATCAGGAAGTGATGCCTTTGCTATGGAGGCAGAAGCTAAAAGAGAAGGAGATTACTATATTTTGAATGGTGAGAAACTGTGGATTACAAATGCTGAACATGCTGGCTTGTTTATTGTCATGGCAAATGCTGATAAGTCAAAGGTAAACTCCACTTGTCATGATGTATAAAATAAGATAAGCTACCCACTTGATGTATTTATATAAGATAAGCTATCCACTTGATGTATTTATATAAGATAAGCTCATAGATAATTGATTGAAGTTATAAAAAATCAACTTTTAACTTATAGAAAAATTTAGCTTATTGTGGTAGGCCATGGAATTGAACTCAAGTGAAAGATTCTCACTGAATTTATTGCCTTTGTTCTTTTTACCATTTTTGTGCTTACTACGAAGTAGTAGACACTTTGCTATCGAGTCAAATGTAAATGAGTTAGCAAGAAATTTGTGTAACAATAGAATGATGTCAAAATGCAATCAATATCCCTTTGGAAGAAACACAGGAAGCCTTCAGAAGYGATCGGTAGAACATATAACTTTAGTATGAAGGACCACCGAAAATTCTTGCAACCAATGTGAACCAATCATCTCTGCTGATTTATGTTCATCTGATTCACATTCAAGACAAAGACYAGTGATTATGTCTACAAGTGATTCGATCCTGTGRACTCAGCACTTGTTCCAGGCTCTACACAAGTATCATTACCGCCCTCTTGTGACATTAGGCACAAAAATTGTAGAAAAAGGAAAATAAATGTAGTTTCAACCACTGAACACATTGCAACTATTGCAAATTCAAGGGAATATTCAWTAAATCACAACACATACTATGTACTTATTGACTGAGTGGGAGGGGAAAATATTTGGCTCGAGGTTATGCTGTACTGACCGAGCGCAGCAAGGTCCATTCAAGAACTTCAAGGTGGAAAATGGAGAGAATAAGAGAAACAAGCCGGGGAACAACATTTATCACAATAAGAAATTCCAATTATTTTCAATACTAATGATGCTGTCAGTGTGTCAATTGTTACCTAAGATTCACGGCATTCCTTTTTTTTCACTCAAAACATGAATGTTTTATCCAATGATACAATGTTGAAGAAACTAAAGAATAACCAATTAGATCTCAACAATAATCATCAAGGGCAATCAATCATGGGACTACTTTATTTAGCTAGTTTGCAGTTTTGTTTCCCTATCAGTGACCACAGAGCATATTTTTGGTTGGTGGGGGTTGAACCTCAAAAATGAGATTCATTTTTGCAGAGCGTATAACAGATTTTATAAATGGCAAATAAATAAAAATTGGAATTACAAATTTGGGCCCCCTGCACTGTGGTCCCTGAATTTTATGTGGATATATTTAAAATGGTGAAACCACATCATACTTCTCAATTCCATTTTATTCAATATAATTACACTCTGATCACTTCCTAAATTGCAGAAACACAGAGGCATAACATCKTTTATCATACCCAAGGATACTGATGGCTTGTCAGTGGGCAACAAAGAGGATAAGGTAATTTCTGTTTCATTTTTTTTATATAAATATWTATGAATTTACATTTCTTTTTACATATATTACAAAGGACAAACAAATGAACTAACATAAAAAAAAACGAAATTACTGGTCGAATAATATTGTCATGGCTTAGTCTGACATCATGTGCAACATAGTGTTGTTTCTATTATGTGTATTTCAGCTTGGAATCAGGGCCTCATCAACTTGTCCAGTTCACATGGATAACGTCAAGGTACACTGTAGTACAAGCTTGTTTGCTTTATTATTGATTATTAGAAGTTGTTAGACTAGTAGTGGCTGTAATAGYTGCTGTTGTTTTGGAAATTGATGGTAGCTCAGAATCCACAGAATGATATAGGAATCAAAATATAATAATGTTAGCAGAGTGAATATGGGGATTGAGAACAAGTGTTTCCTTTGGGGTTGGCATACTACTTTTAGAAGTATTCTCATAGTGCCACATGGTCCTCATATTCATATCTTTTCATTTTCATTAATGCAACCTAACATCTATTTTTCATCTGACCATGGTCCTACTCTGACCTTGTAGCACAGCTGGTAGAGCATCAGCTGAAGTACAAATCCAAGAGTTGCATGTTCAAATTCCAGTATTAAAGGTCAAATTAATTTTTCAGAATTCACTTCTTAGGGTCTTTCTCCCAGAATAACCTCTCTCTAAGCACTATATAACTTTCCTTTATTTCTATATTTTATACTTTTAAAAGCCCAGACTGTCACTGATTAAGACAAGATGATGGCTGAATATTTAAAGTCTAGAATGTACCAAGGTTCTGAGTGTGTCCATTGTAGTTCAAATGGATTGGTATTCTCCAAACTATGGGCTATAATTCCATCAATCTGATTGTCACTACTGAACTATGGTCTCAACCAGGTCTCAACCTCATTCCCAGGCCCTTATACCTTTGCTTGGTGTCAGGTGGGAAAAGGCCCTGGGATYGGCTGGCCAAAAACCCTAAAATTCTGGGTGTAATAAATTAGCATGACATTACACATCCATCGTCACTATTTATTTTGAKTGTGTAGTAAGTCCTGGTTACACTTTGAATTGCATTTAACAACAAGTACCGGTATTTTCCTTATAAAAACTTAAAAACTACTACAAAAGAAGTATTTGGAGTGTAAAAAGACCCTGATCAGCTATGTAGTCCTGCTTGTCTTAAAATCTGTATCCAGAGCGTGTTTCCTTCTGAAAATCTTTTGCAATGTGTCAAAACATGTCAAAAGGTCATTTGGATAAATTATAAAAACAAAACTTTCTCTCAGCTAATCAAATTAGAGATGTCACTAGCTGATGCCAGGGCCTTTTCCCGCCTGACCCCAAGCAAAGGAATAAGGGCCTGGATATGAGGTTGCTATGGTCTATTCATACCACTAGTCACATCAAATGAAGCAAAATAGTTGAGAAAAATTGTTCCTTATGTTCTTTTTTCTCTTAAACTTCGAGTTAATAGTCCATTCAGTACAGCCTCGTGGACTACATAATATCAACTTGTAGTACACTCGACCTCACAGATTGATTGTGAAATATGCACTTAGTGTTTTCATAAATATCTTGATAATAACTTTGGAAGTTAACATGAAATTTAAGTTTGTTTAATTGGTTGATTTAAGTTTTTTTAATTGGTTGATTGCATTATTTTCAAATGTCAAACCAATAACAACAGCCCCAGATCATCATCTTTTTTCATCATTTTTTGTAAATGTTTTAAAAAACATTTAATAGATTTTTGCCATTTTCTTGAAACCTGRRAAATGGTATGATTGTGGCAATCTTGAGGCCAGGAGATGCGATCCAAAATGTTTCTACTCCCAGATTATCTGGGAGAGGTGACAGCCCTGTAGTTGGTAGTCTTTATAAATTTGTTTTGACATGATTTATATCTTTCAGATTCCTGMAAACAATGTGATTGGTGAAGTTGGCAAAGGCTATTTATATGCTATCAGTATACTAAATGAGGGAAGAATTGGTATTGGAGCACAGGTTATTGATCTTCTATAATTATTTATTAAATTATGACAGGGACGTCCCTGATTATGAACTGCAAAAAGTAAAAACTCACACATTTCAAGCCGACATGTAACTAATGATGATGTTAGAGTACAAGCAATAACATTGTGCAGCATAGATGGTCCTAAATACTGAAAAGAGCGTACTACTATACAAAATAAAAAATTCACATTTTACTTTTTATCAAATATATATTGACCGATTTCTGGAAAAAAAACTTACCTATCCCCATAACATGCATAAATTTAATCCGATTTTCACAAAATTTACTTAATATGAATTTGAATCCTTTGGCAATCATGTAGCAAAATATTATTATGATTTGACCAACTTAAGTTACTTTTTGACTCGTTTCTTTCATCCCGGTCGGAGTTCAAAACAACTGTATCCAGATGTACCTTTTTTTTAATGGCGTTTAACACAGACAAAGAAACAACTAATTATAATCAAACAAAAATTATAACATATTAAACATCATTAATTCTGCAGCAGCTAAGAAATTCCCAGTTGGTTGCCTTTTAAATCTGATTGGATCGTTCTGAAATTGAAAGAAGAATAGTTCATTCTTGAAAATAACTAGTCTGTCGGAGTAGTTGTGACCCTCTTTGAGAAGAGATGGTCTGTGGTGATAACATAGAATCATGCTTTCCCGACCCAAATTAAAATTCAACCTGTTTCATATGAATGTCAAAAAAAATGTTGACCAGAAACAAAAGACCTTGTTTAAAAATAACTGTCACAATTGGTACAAACACGCAAAGGTGTTTTGATTTTAAAAATGGTGGGAACTAGCGGCAAACTAGTGTGTCTTTTTACTCCGACGAAGGATTAACATCCGAAACGTCAGTAAGTTATTCCACATACTTTTTTATAGTGTTAAATTTATCTTTTTACATAACTGTTTTGATTTTAGCCTTTCAAGCAGACATACCCCATTTTCAATGTTTTTGTAAATATTACCTAAGTATTATAAGTTGTTAGTCAAGCCAAATATGAACAAGATGACAAAACCTGAAGGATGTTCAACAGAAAGCAGGACGTAGAATTTCCCATGATTGTGACAGCCAGGCCCTCTCTCCTTGTCCACAGGGATCCCAACAGGTCATCTATGTGCAGGGCAAAATAAGTATCCGTTGAAATAAGAATGAGGAGTTAATACAATCAAAACAAATGCATCATCCCTACTATCTGAACAATTTTGCAAGACATGCATGCATGTAAAGGTCACCTTCAATCATCTTAGTTTATTATAAAATAAAATAAAAATTCTTTGTAATATTTTGAACTTTCTAACAACAGCCCTAGTCTCCTCGCAGCCGTTCTTAGGGAGCCCGCCACTAAGAACGGCTGCGAGGAGACTACACAACAGCCCCAGACCATCTCCATTTCCCATCTCCATCTCCTTTAACTTTAGRAGATGATTTTTAATGTACGGAAGTAAAGAGTTTCACAAATTATTTGATTTCAAATGTTGTATCCTACCTTTGTAAAACTCATGAATAATTAATGAGGAAAACACAATAGAAATCACAACCGTGAAGAGTGTTGTAATATTTGATACAAAACTGTCTTGATTTGCATAAACTTAAACTTCGGCTCGAGATTGTAAAATCACATACAACATGGCCGCTCATGTTGTAAACAATACTTATGAAACTTATTAATAATGCATGAGCTATTACTCCAATAATACCCTGGGAACCAGAGGCTGGATTTAAAAGTACAAGAACGAGTAAATCTAGACTCTGGTTCCCAGGGTACTCCAATAAGGGCTGTCCATTTAATCTGGTGATTGACCTTGTAAATCTGATACAACACTAGTGTTGTATCAGATTTACAACACGGTCGTCATCCATTGAGAAAACCCAACACTAGCAAAGGTCTCAGTTTTAGTRTCGCATCATAGACCTTCACTAGGTTTTGAAAGCCATCAAAAACAGATAACAGAACTCTCTTATGAAACAGATGGCTTGCTTTTCCATGTGGGATGGATAATTGTTCAAAACGTTCTGTGTTGCAGTAAATTGTTGTCATTTTTCGTCATTTATCTCACTGTAATTCATGTTAATTAGTGTTGGAGTTTTATAAGTCGTTTACAACATTCGSAACCGTGTTGTATGGGAATTACGGCTTGAGACTGTAATAGCACTAATATATTTCTATTTATAGCACTAATTATTTTTTGACAGCTAGTCACTTAATCATAAATTAATGTCAAGAATGTTAATTCTTAGATGGTTGGTCTTGCACAAGGATGCTTTGATGAAGCTGTCAGATATGTAAGAGACAGGGAGCAGTTTGGTCAAAAAATATGGAACTTTCAAGTAAGCTAAAAGGTTTAACTTATCATTATATTGATGTTTTTTCATGAATTAGAGAGAAAATCAGAATACAATGGAAGGGTTAGGTTTTTGGGCTGGTGTAGGGTTAGTTTTAGGGCTAATTTTAAGTGTTTTTGCCCTCTTTTCTAAGTTTCTAAAGAAACACACCACCCCCCGGCCCCTCCCCCCACCTCTCAAAGTCTGCACTGYATGATTGCTGATCGTTTAAGCTATTGCTCAAAACGACGTTGATAACATGGATAAAATACTTAGTTTGAAATTAAAGGTAAAGGTGAAGTCATCAAAACAAAACCATATTCATAGCTATAAGATAGCAGTAATGTCTAATTTATTCATGTTACTTTCCGCATTAAATTATGTCATTCTCTGAGGTCATGAATGTCGATAAGGAATATTCAATATTATATGGTGCCTACAGGAGCTCCACCTTCTATTTGGGATTTTCGAAGCCATGATGTCCAAAAAATACATTATTATGATAGTATTTGGTTATTACCATGGTGATCTAGTGATCGTTGTGATCTTCGGCACTCTTTTTAGTAGTCAGTCAAATATATTTCACTCAGTTCAAGCCTCTTCAGTGAAAGTACTGTCACTGAAGAGGCTATCATGATTCATTTCTTTCAGAATATTAATTTCATATACTGAATATATAAACTTGGTCAAAGTAAAATAAACAGGCTTTTTGTCAAAGATGGTTATACTATGGGTCAATATTATAAAATAATTTCAAAAGAAGAACCTTCCATCTTTGTTTGATAAAAGTGTGACAAAGCYTATGGAACAGGTCTGTCATTGATTGTATACATTTCAATTGGGTACATATCTCTACAAAGTTCTTCGCCTCGGGAACACAAATTTCATTGGTTGAGAATGTGACAATAACAGTTTATAATAGCTTCGGACTCACTGTGTGAATACCCATCAAAAACAAAATCATGGCTCAATATACAAGGTGGATGTATATTGAAAATTTAATTAAAAATAAGGTAAAGTGAACACATCCTGCTGTTCTCCCTTAGTCATTGTAGCTCTTATAGGTCATTGTAGGTCATTGTAGATCATTGTAGCTCATTGTAGCTCATTGTGCCTTTTAATAAGTATGGTGTTCAAAAGCTATTTCTGTGTGATGTTTCACGCCAATTCGCCTGCAGAATCTGCACACCGTTGAAAATGATATATTCGTGTAATAATGTGACTCTTCTTATTTTTTATTTCATTAATTAATTTCTCCATTGAATGATTGATTGATTGATTGATTGATTGATTGATTGATTGATTGATTGATTGATTTTGTCATTTTTTGAAGGCGATGCAACATCAAATAGCTGATATTCACACTCAAATTGAGGCTGCAAGGCTCATGGTGTACAATGCAGCTCGTAGAAAGGAGGCTGGTTTGTCATTCATCAAGGAGGCAGCAATGGCAAAATATTATGCTGGAGAGGTGATGTGCAGGACATTGTGTGTTTTATGTATCATCCCCTCACTTACCTCATTATTCTCTGATAATTGTCTTTCACAGGTTGCAACCTTAACAACATCAAAATGTGTAGAATGGATGGGAGGAGTAGGATTTACGAAAGGATTTCCTATTGAAAAATATTACAGAGATTGTAAAATTGGTGAGTACTTAATGTTTTCTTAGTTTGTTGACCCCTGTACAATTAAGGTCATAAGAGCAACTAGATGGGCACTGCATAGCCTGCGTAGCTGGCCCTTTTAAGAGGGGCCTGGGCCAGCTACGCAGGCTAGGCACTGCACATCATAACTATTGTGCTGAAATCTTCCCMAAAAAAGTGATATTAAAAACGGTGGGAACTAGCGGTAAACTAGTGTGAGCTGCRTCGKCGTTTCTAAAGAAACAGTTGTGTAAAAAGATAAATTTAACACCGTAAAAAAGTAGGTGAAATAACTCACTGACGTTTCGGACGTTAATCACTCCGACGAAGGATTAACGTCCGAAACGTCAGCAAGTTATTTCACCTACTTTTTAACAGTGTTGAATTTATCTTTTTACACAACTGACATTAAAAACAATGCATTGACCAATTGTAGGAAAATAGAGTCATTTTCATCCGTCTGTGAAATAGGAATTGTACTAATAACTGTTAACCCCTATTGGCTCACAATAGTTKAACTTATGACATGCGACAAACCTATTAGTATTAGACGAACACGGTTTTGATTTTGCCTTTTGGTAACCTACTACACCCTAATRGTTACTATTAAACGCTGACTAGTAGTAATTGTTTCACAGACAGATGAAAATGACTCTATACCTTAAATTAAAAGAAAATACATTAAAAGTTTGTTTTCTGTCAATCTAATGCAATTATTTTTTTAGGAACAATATATGAAGGAAGCACAAACATTCAACTAAACACTATAGCAAAAGAACTGGAAAGAGAACTGGAAYATTAATATCAAATATTCCTTTTGCACTTATTATTATTAAAATTATCCAAAAAAGGGAAAACTTTGATTATTGCAGTGACTCTTCGGCAAACAGGGACGAGTTGTATGGAGAATTGATAAAATTATCCGCTCCATAGATTTTCTATTTTTTATCGCGATCCTGTGAGCCCGAGCCTCTGTGTGAGAGCCACGAGCCTTATTTTCGAGCCTGTTTCTTTATCTTTTCAAATCTCGACTTGGACATTGTAATCGATTTACACGGTGCAATTAGTACTTGTGCAGAGTATTAAAATGGAGATCAACTTCGCGACGAAAATGTGATTATTTTTTGCTGCAAAGTAATATTTGTATTTCAAAAGCAACTCTAGCTGAGATCTGAAAGCCGTGATACTTCTATTTCTCAATGCAAATGTTTTTTAGCTTATGGACCAATTCCATATGAGGCCTCGTGAAGTACCTTGTCTGTGCCGTAAGTACCGCCTCAACGGCAGTCACGACTTCGTCTATTCGTACCAAGAGTCTCTGGTGCCCTCTAAGGCACTCGGGCAAGTTTCCAGATTCTATGGCTTCTATAGTTTTTTCCGGTAAAATTATTTCAAGAATAAAATAATACGATAAAGTGGTTCACATTCTTTGTAGCTACAACACACTACCAAAACTCAAGCTGTACTGATATGTGCAATGGTGTTTTATTTCAAGTATGAGCGATTGTAATATGGGAATTATTGTTTTGTAATTGCATATTTTATGGAAATATTTTACACTAGTCGTCATATGCATGTAATTTTGACTTTAATTGTTTTTCTTTATGAGTCTTAAATAAACGATTTGCATGACACAGGGCTGTCAACTCTCGACCAGATAATCTGTGAGTTAGAAGATTGCAGCATATTAAATCTCACAGTTTTTCAAGAAAATGAGAAAACTCCCTCCCCAACTTGGGTGGGGTGTGCCGCACGACCCTCAAAACCCTTACCCTATCCCGGCCATACCAAGTTTTGGGAGCGACTATAGAATACCCGTCCACATATAACAGTTATCAAATGACTGCCACCGCGGTCCACGGTGCCGTAGAAAATGAGAAAACTCCCTCCCCAACTTGGGTGGGGTGTGCCGCACGACCCTCAAAACCCTTACCCTATCCCGGCCATACCAAGTTTTGGGAGCGACTATAGAATACCCGTCCACATATAACAGTTATCAAATGACTGCCACCGCGGTCCACGGTGCCGTGRWGATCGCTATGATTCATGGKTAAATTCTTCCCTTAGACTTTTGAGAACGAGAAATAATTTCCGACTGCCGCCGCGGTCCACGGTGCCGTGGTGATCGCTATGATTCATGGGTAAATTATTCCCTTAGACTTTTGAGAAGGAGAAATACATGTCAAATGAACGCCACCGTACCCTATCCCAGACAAAACTACTACCCTATCCCAGACAAAACTACTACCCTATCCCAGACAAAACTACTACCCTATCCCAGACAAAACTACTACCCTATCCCAGACAAAACTACTACCCTATCCCAGACAAAACTACTACCCTATCTCAGACAAAACTACTACCCTATCCCAGACAAAAAGACTACATTAGGGCAAAAAATGATACCCTATCCCAAACTTGGAGCTCCTTAAAAATTCATGATTGTAAATCTTTTAGGGNCAGTCCATTCATACAAAAAAGAAAAAGCAATGAAAAACGCAATTCAAAAATTTCTAAAAGTAATCTAGTTAACCGTGATTCGAAAAAATTAGTCGTGCGAGTCGTGAAATCGCCAAATTTTTAGCCGTGAGTCGTGATGCGTACCACCCCATTGAGACCCTCTTGTAGGGGTATTTTTGAAAATTTCCGACGAGCATCCCCGGTCCTTTTACCCCGGGGTACCCCCCCGGCCCACCGGGGCTTCGGGTCTCCTGTCTATAGGGAAAAGTATATTTTTGAATGCTTTGCCTTGCGAAGTAAGACAAAATGGAAATAGTAACCTGTAAAAAAAAACATATTTATCTATATATTCCGTTCTATTGTTAGGAACCAATGTTTATGTACCCTTGTGTGCAGAGCTCCAAATAAAAATTTGTTGTTGTTGTTGTATATAGGAAACATCACATTATGAACTACTGTATCRTAGAACAGTTAACTGCCCGGGAGCTACTGTTGCTTTTATAGTAATTYTTTGATATTCGAGGCTTTTGTTATTTCCCCCGGAGAGGGGGGGTACTCCCATTTGCTATACGGGGACGTGCCGCTGGCCAGGGTATGGTTTTTGGCCTTGGGTATACATTTCACAGATAAAAACCGATATAATTTTTTGTGTCTTAGATAGGGTAATACTTTCATAAGAAATACCGTATAAATAGTAGATACCGTTTCACTGTAGCAGGAGTTAACGTGTTATCAAAACCTCTTATTGTCTTTGATGGATGTCAGTTTAATCATAGTCAGTAATTTAATCATAGTCTACTAACTATGGTTTAATTGCAGTTTTGATGGTTGCTGCGTAGATAGCGATTCCGTGTTTATACGATTTGTGTTGAACAGGGTATGGATTTTCAATTCAATTCAATTTCATTTTCAATTTTAGTTTATTCGCACTTTTCTGATCATTACATTCATGATTATTTTTATTGAATATTTCTAATGTAATTTATAATACATCATTAATTTGAATAAGTGTACGGCAACCAAAGGAGCTAAAATGCTTTCGAGTTGGTTDCCGTAATTGTCAATTATGGGTCCAAAAAGTAAAAGATAAGATAGTAAGGAAATAAGGAAAAGGGAATTAGAGGGAAAAGAAAGCTGAGAGGAAGGAATATTATACATTAAATAATGCTTTTTTTAACAGGATCAGGGTTTAAACCGCTGGCGGCACGTACCTAAACTTTAATTCAACTACTCAGTGCGTACCAAAAATACTTTTCTCAACCATCGAGAAAGCTTTCTCGGCGGAGAGAAAATGAGATCTGTGTCTTGTCCACCGTCTTTCAACAACGAAGACATTTGCATAAAACTGTCTTTGAAAATTTATCATTTAAAAATAAAGCTATTCAACAATGAATATTCTTGCAAAAAAAATAATTATATATGATAGGTCTACATGAAAATTAACTGCATTATGACACTGCAGTCACGTAAATTAGTGAGCGTGATTTTCTTTTGGTCAGCGGCCCGACTTATGACGTCACTAATACTTACTGCGTATGCGCAGTGAAAGACTATAAAGTTTCTCTTTTTCTTTTCTTCGCGTGGTCTCTAAATTTTTTTGTAATGGAGGTAAATTTTGACAGAAATTCCCCATTTTGAGAGCGTCCTATAGAACTGTGTTTTGTTTGTTTTCTTTCAGGCTGCTCTAGATGAGGAGAATCGAAGCCTGTAAGTTGTAGATTTGTTTATGATGGTCTATATACTACAGGAAGTCCGGATTGTATTTACTAGCACGAAGTACGTACTAACACGAATTTCTCCTCATCTTTTCTTAGCTACGTTGGTAACCTCGAGCCTTCATGTACAGAAGAATTGATTTACACAATATTCAGTCGTATATCCCCAGTATTAAGATGCAAGATGATTTATTCGGTATGTATTGGCTGATTAATGTTTGATATGACTTCTAGGCAAATAACAAAATGCCGGTTCTTATGTTGTGTGATGATTTTTGTGAGTTTGTTTGGAAATACCGATAGACGATCGGAGACATTTAAGCTTACTGYAATTTTCATCGTGGCAAAGTGTAGTGATCTCGATGGTGATTCACGTTGGCTGTGAAGTAACTCCGAGTAAAGTAMTGATTCTAAAGTTTGATGTCAAATGAAAGGTTTTGTGAAACCGGTAGAGGATTTCTTTATACCAGCAAACCAGTTTGAAATACACGAGTTTTATCTTGACTCTACAACAAGGACTCTGCTATCAAATGACCTTGATTAGGAGATTATTTATGCTGCTTTCAAAAACAATGGACATTGAAACACAGCAAACATCAATGGGAAGATATTACCGTATCTAAATAAGAAGTGAATTCATTAGTTGGCTGACTGAGGCTGTGTTTATCAATGTTTTTCGTCAGACCAATCATACTAGCGATCATTGTACCATCAACATAAAGATAAGATAGTTCAATTCTCCAAGGCTTTCAAAAACTACAGACTTTTTTCATTCTTCACCTTCGTCATTTTTTGCTCGTTGTGATACAAGTGTGGGTGATTTAGCTCGACATGTAAGTAAGCCTTATAACTAAGTTCATATTTTAGGACGTTTAGCAATTCATGCATTTTTCTTTCCTGTATCTCAATCTCTGTGGGGTTTCTCGAAGTATCACGGAATCCAGACCGTTGGGTTATTTCAGTTTTGAAAGCGAAATGTTGTCGACTTATATTAATTTTTGAACTGACACTGACTTATGTTGTAATGTCGAAGGTCAATGCGCTTTATCGCTATTTTTTCTTCCTTCGTGCTCATCTATCATTCGTCATCTATACTACCTGGCCTGTCTTTTACCAGCTAATTGCAATCGAATTTTTCATATCAACTAGTCAAATTTAGCATTGTATTATTAGTGCTTTTGGGCTATATTTATACACCAAAGCGAACACTCTTGATGTATTTTCTATACAAGTTACAGTTAACAAATAGCTTTGTTATATGGACTTAACTGTATAGCGTTTCTGCCAGTCAAAATCAAGTCTAATAAATGAAGATGACGTCCATCTGTTAGTTAAATAGAACATGTATTTCACTTATCAAGCCTGACAGGATTTCCTGACTGAAAACCAAATATCACTCTCCGTTCTATTGGTAAACACGATACACGTTACAACATTTAGTTATAATTCGACAGTCTAATTGTATTTAGCCTAAACCTATATTTCTTCCGTTTAAGTCTGGTCATTGATGTTTAATTGCCTTATTTTAACCAAAATAAAACTACATGATTTAATTCATATCTCACTCTTTATTCTATTCATATTCTATTATTTATTTGTTGCATTTAAATGTTTATTGCATAATACTTCAACTCACATGAGGTAGTACACCATATTTGTTTATCATATTGTGATTGGCCTGGAAACTTAAATTATATCAACAATCCTCAGTTAGCCTTTTATCACTTCTATGTTGTAGTGGCTGTTTAGCCTTTTATCACTTCTATGTTGTAGTGGCTGTTTAGTCAGAGGCAAAACAAACTGTTCTAAAGATGTATCTTGTTATTCAATGAATTCGCTATGCAGTGTTGTCTTGGCTATAAGTAATGTTTTTGTCTAATTTGCAACAATGGCTGCCACTCAATAGCAGAATTTTCTCATTTCAACCCAAGAAAAAGTTTGGTCCATAGAGATATAGATAATATACGTGTATTAATTTAGATTACAGAAAATGTATGTCGGTTCTAGGTGGCAAATGAGCAGTGACCGTATTGAACAATCAAATATTTTTATTGTATTTCGTAAAAGTCAATGAAAGATTTTAATTCAACATGTAAACCAAGAATTTACAGAAGTACTTCTTCAATTTGTCTCACTATTGAAGTCATGTGTTCCAAAATACCATGATGATGTACAGGTTAACTAGACTGCTGGTCTCTATTATGCAATGTGTATTTAATATTATAGGTGACTAGCACAAAGACGACTGCAATATGGCTGCACAAGTCTGGATACACATTTCAATCACAAAGAGAGCAATRAAGTGAAATTRTTATTCTAGTATTTCATCTCATAAATATTCAATTTTATCAACAACRAAACAATTGCCATATTGTGCTATGTAATGTAATGCCAGAAATTTGCAATATTTGTAAATTAGGGAATCCATGAACTTTATCATTATAATTATGAAATTTGTTATTGAAGTTGTCCAGTGAAATAGTGATGTTGGATGTTGTYTYTGTGTTTTCATTGGTTTCCACATGAGATGCAGTTATATGTATRATTGTAGTTGCTGAATGTCACAACMTGATTCCTGGTCCATGTTCTTAGTAGCATGTCCAATGTATAACATAAACTTGGTTATCATATCTATAGTCCTTTACGATTTTTCAGCAATTGAGATCACTAAGACAGACAGCATCACTGGAGAGTGTTTCCATGTAAATGCTATAATTGTTAGTGATACAGTGATCAAGATTGGTTGGATTGCAAAACCATTTCTATATGAAGGACAGGAAGACTGAATGTTGTATTTTAGAAACTAGCCTATAATTATTTACTTGCATTGAATCTGAAATTTGAAATGTCTTTTCCATTATTTTTTAGACTGGAAAGGACCCTTTTTGTTTTGTTGAATTTCATTCAAGAGCTGGTGCACAACTTGCAAAATATCAAATGGATAGAAGAGAAATAATGGGAAAGGTATGTTGTTGCTGTACTTTAACTTAATAGTAATAATATTATAGCTGTCACATGTAAATGTTTAACAACTAAAAACATTTCAGTTAAAAGAATGAACTAAGGGATAGCTTATCCATAGTCTGAATTATATAGCTGGGCATCTCTAGCAGATTCAAAGATTATGATACAAGAGAGAAAAAGGAAATGCTTGCCAGCAACTCTACTCTATGAAAATTCACAGATCGTCAAAATTTGAGTAAACCTATCAAATGTGGCATTATCAATCATTAAGCAACAAGTTTTTAAATTTTTTTCTTAAATTCTGATAAATATTCTAAATTATTTTGTCGTAGATTTTTACAGTCATTGATGTCATTGACTTAACCCTATTGTTCTTTTATCTTCTTCACTTTGGATGACTCCCAAGCAAAACCTTTCCCCGTCAAGTTTCAAATATATGTAAATAACTAGGTATATGTTCCCTAAAAACACCATTATTCAATTCGTTATTCGATTCTTGGTCGATTCAGCATTACATTATTGATGAAATCAAATTTAAATTCAAATTTGAATCCAAATTTGATTGGATTATTTATCAGATTTTCATAAAGCCTTCTTCATATTTCACTTGCAAACATGCTGGTCTTTTGTAATTTCCGCAAGTTGATGCATTGCAATATGCTGTCTGTTAATTTGGTTGGATCTGTTCCTTCTCGTGTGAAGGGAATGATAGTCTCAAAAAGCTGGAAATGCTGTGTTGTTTTCTGTCATTGTCAGAGTTCGAGATTTGAATTCAATTTTGCATTAATCAACTGAAGTTTGAAAACGAAAAATAAAATGAAAAATCCAATAATGCATTGAATAACGAACTATTTGGGGGGCACGCTTCATGTCTTTTGACTATAATATTTAAGTTTTAGAGAACCATATCCTTAGCTTGTGCAGAGATAATTTAAGAAAAAAAATCTATCTTTTTGGTGTTGAACATACAAAGCAGACCAAGGCCAATTCTGTGAATTTAGTGAATAAGTAAAARCACCAGACTCAAGTTTATAAGAAAGTGAGAGAGTTGACTTTGATTTAGAAATAAAGGAATGTAGGATTAATTTTTTTTTGTAAATTATTAAAATAATTTTTGAATACTTCTTTATATATATGTTATGTTTTTATTATTATTTCCATATAGAAGAGATTTTTTTAAAATAGTCGCAAATTTTATGCAAATGTCCAGTCAATTGGTAGTTTGTGAAAAGCATTGTTGTTAGTCCCTTTACATTTTTTTTACATTAGTGTTGGTCACTTGTTGTTATCTGATCAATAAACCTTTTTTGAAATACAAAATCATAGTGCATTGTGGTCTAGCTTCAACTCTAAACAATGCCATATTTGGCAGCATAAACAAAATYTAGACCACAATGCAATGCAGGCAGCTAACTCGGAAAAGGCCCAAGGAGCTCTGCATTCCATTTTCTAGTGTGACTGATATTATTGTCTGCATAGYACGCTAATTATCTTGTTCAATTAACATCATTTTAATTATGACTTTCTCACATAATAATGAAAGCATCTATTCTATTTTCTTGGTGCTGCAATGAAATGTTGGATGAATGAACAAGAGAAGTTAAAAATGTGGAATGCTGTGTTATTTTACATTGTAGAAATGTGTTAAGTGCAAATCAAGAATGTGATTTTCCTATTGTTAGCATGAAGTAAGGTTGAAGTGACAATTTTCTCTCATATATTATGCATGAGGGAAAAATTGAAACTTGTTGTTTGTAAATTATGAACTAATTTCCCTCATTCATATGGATGAGGGAAATTAGCACTTAATTTCTAGTAATGATATGGTGATATGCTGTCTCCAACATTGTAATTATTCTGTTAGAAAAAGAGTTCTTAACTTGACGATTGAAGTAAATATTTAACTTCCTATTMATATTTTTTTCGCACCTGTAGCTGCAATTTGCCTATTACCAATGATAATATATTGATTAAATCAAGTGAAKATTCTATCCTGTGACTGCATGAGACATATGTGTGACATTATGAAATTTTTGGTTCAAAAGTCATTTGTAAATGATTAGATTACACATTTTATTGATAGACTTGAGTTTGGTCTTCAAATCACATCTATCTGAATTATTAATCAGTTTAATAGTACTACTCAAACATCCTTGATGGGCTTTGATGTTCTTTGAATTATTATTAAGATGAAAAACTCTTAATCTCTCAATTATTTCATATTATTCAAATGTTTGATGCTTGTACATGTACATTGTTCACTGTTATACTACTACAAAGGAAAACAAAAGCTTTTTTGTCTTTTGTTAGGTGTGTTTTGTTCTTTGACAGGTGTAGCATACCATTGGTGTAATGCTGATACATAGTCTGTTGTTGTTATTGACATCTAGCTATTCTTCTTTGTGACATGGATTATCAAAATAAATGAGAAAATGTTACTTAGCTGYCATCTTTTAGACAAAATCAATATAGAATGGACTACAAATTGYAATAGTCTTTTTATTGTGATCTTGAATGACAGTACATGTACACTTCCAATGAACATAGCAAAGATATCCCATGCTGTGATAACCACTTGATTTGAATACAAAACGTTCTCTTTCAAAAAAATGTTTTAAAATAGTGTTTAGGATATGTTCAAGATTGTATTTATAAGATTCTTATTCATTAATTCTTTTTTTGAGTAATGATAGGTAAAATCACTAGCAAAAGAAATGTGTTACAAATATTAACTTATAATGTCCATTGCCCATTACATCTGGAAGTCAGTACAATTCTCCCACATTGATCAGTTGRTATTTGTGCTTCATGTTTGAGGCCATGCTAAGWAGTATGCACAGAAGAACAACTTGTAGTGTTTTTATCATAATGGTTATTGAATTTTATTTTGCTAAGGACTTGTTGCATATCAAAGTCAGTTTGTATTGATTTAGCGAAATAGAAAAAAAATTCCCCCTGAACAGCTGTATTACAGGTGGGACCAAGTAAGGATTCTATTTTTAGTTGATTGTAGAGCAATGGAAATCAAGATAAATGATTTTTTTGTTCTAATTCTGTACCAGTTTCAATATTTTGTGAGTGTGAGAGTTTGCAATGAATTACAATTTCCAGCAGGACATTAAACAAATTACTAGGTTGAATTTAAGCTGATGCATTCAAGAAAGTTTTTGACTTAGTTGGAGAAATATATGAAGTGTATATATAGTTGGTCAGATATTGATTGCAGTCTTGCTTGGAAGTATTGTACAAGAATGTGTAAATGCTGTTAATAAGACAGGTTGACTCAACTATGTTTGTATGTATTTACCAATCAGGGAAGCTGTAGTTGTTGGGTTTGTGTTTGAGTTGATGAATAATACATGAGTTCAGACAATGACATCCATGTACAGGGGGTTTGATCAAAGTATTGAACCAGAACAACCTTGACATGACATGTCAAAATCAACCTATCATTACCCTGGTTAACTGATTCAACCCTTCCCAGAATTTTCAAAGGAMATATCATGGTAATTATAATATGAGTGGAGTGAAGCAATGCTGGAGAGGCAGTTATTATTCACTGGTTTACCTGCTGGGCCTAGAGCAACACCAGACATCTGGCTCCCAACTCCAACTAGAAGGGTCAAAGAATACATAATACATGATATTCACCATTCCTTCTCTCCTCTTTCTTAGTCTATTAAAGTGAATTGGGCCACCAATAGCCAGGGGATGAAGAGGGGAGACACAAATAGTAAGTATAAATCAACTTGAGGTTATTAATATGGTGTGAAATGCTAAATCTCACTACCAGTTAAATCAAGTATTGTCAAACACTGCTTGATTTGTTTGCCCTCTTTGCACTGATAAATCAGATTCATTTTCATACAAGGAACACCCACTAGCCAGTAKAGTTCTTACTCACTTTTACTTGAAAATAGCTGGATGTTTGTATGTTTTGTTGGTCTCAACATTTCAGTGATTTCTTGTTAAAGTGTCAATTATTTTGTTTGACTGCATTGATTTGAATTCCAGAATGTTACTGTTCTGATTGTCACATAACTGGTTCTCTGGATAGCCATGAGTACTTGTCTTATGAATATTAAATATTTCTTAATTCTGCTTACCTAAAAATGTCATGTTCTCCTTATGTTATTTTGTCATATATATGTAGACACTCTCTTAAAAACAAAGAATTGTATTTCTTGGCCTTCTTTATTGACATTTACTTGGTACTCCACATGAAAATTCTCAGGAACAATTTAATTTGAATTCACAGTCAAGTGTTTTTAAAAGCTTTAATTCACCATTCAATACTTTTGGGGAAAATTGTGCTATTTAAAAAGAGTCTAGTTTGTGATGATGAGTAGCTGTAAATTAGATGAACTAAAACACTCTAGAAATAATCTAATTGAATGTTATACAGTTCACTGAATAACCTTCTCAAAACTCACTCTGTCTAAGCTGTTTTCTGTACTATTAGACCAAAAGATGTAGGTGGATTGAATAGGTCTATATAGGAGTGCTGACTAATTTTGTGATATTCATTGCTATTATCAAATGAGGGAGAGCTTCCCTGAGGCTTTTAAAAATGGTTTATCTTTAGTGTCATCTTATGTCAAGTGTTTGTCAATTAACATCTTCTTATACTTGTTAGCTACAGCTGAGCTTTTAAATTTYTTTGCCTTTGTTTCATTTCTTGGATTAAAATTTCTGGTTTCTCTTTCTGTGTCAAAAATTATTGTCTTGCACATGTAAATTTTTAATCCCAAACATTGTGAATATTGATATATGCTCATGTTATTTAAGAAAACTCTTTTGTGGCAAATATTCTGTTCCAGGCCTAATGATGTTATCACTATAGAAYAGTTCCTGGAGTAAAAGGGTTTTGATGTTAATTCAGTGTATATGTCTGCAATAATGAGAAAAGATTTCATTTCAATTTGAAAGCAAACAGAGCAGGCTGATCACAYATTGTAATATTGTGATAATCACTACCTTGTGGTAAACACTGATTTGTGTGGTTTAAACAATTAATCATGCTAATATTAATGCTTGAAAATGCTTTCATTGAAAATACTCTCCCAAATTTTTACTTCAGTTAATTTGATTATTTGTTTTTTTAATAGTTTTTTTGAATAGGTTTTGTTTTGCTGATGATTTTGCTTTTTACCTTTTTTACTCTTATACCATTTCCAAGATTACACACATCCATAACATGGTTCTATTAAAATCAGCACATTTCTCTAGGAAAATTATAATCAGATATTTTTTAAGAATTATTTTYGCAGTATTCAAGGTGTTTCCAGATTACATTTTGATATAAAGTGATATTAATTCCTATTTACCCTCACTGGGGTAAAATTAGGGAGGAAGTCTTTTTGAGAGCTTGATAATTTTGTGTGGCATGAAGTATTTTGTACTAGGCTCAAGTTTAAGTTTTATGTATTACAGGTATGTCCTAAATTGAATCAAAATGCCAGAGAACTTGAGTTGTATTGATCAGAATATAGAATAAGTGAAAAGTGTTGTGTGAAGTTACTTTTATGCAGAATTTAATCCAAATCACTGTTAACCATGAGGTAGTATTGTACAGGGTGAGGTTTCAAGTTCTGGCTTGCAGAGTAACTCTCCCTAATTCAAAGTTGGAAAGGGTGCTCAGCAGTTTCAGATTTGTGTAATGTCTACATAAATAACTCAGATGCTGATTACAGACTGTACAATTTTATAGATAGAATTTTATTTAGTATTCTGATCAATCTCCAAGKGCTCTGGGTAAATATGGTGAATGTCAAGTGTAGAAGATTAATGTCATTTGTTTGTAATTAAAATGCAGAATTGAGATTGCGTATACTGAGTTCTTTTGTAGATAAGTTATGAACTTTTAATCTATCGACAATATTAACATCATTTAACCATTTATAGCAGGAGTTATTGCATGTTGCTGACTAAGTTAGTTTATGAATGTGTCCTTTTGTTATGGGTCAGTGGAAAATCAGAGATTTTTACTGCTTGTATCACTTGGATAATAGCATCTTCTACTATTGATATCTTTATCATGTTAAATATACTCTGTAGTACTAATTGAAAGTAAATGATATAATAACTTACTTATTGATCACAGCAAAAAATAGAAGTAGAGAAATAGAGATAGAAGTGTTATGGGGGAAACACAGAAACCAGCATTTTTTTACTTCATTTTGTTGTCTGATGTTGATGAACCCCAATGATCATCTGTTGATACTTGTAAGACAAGGTTCATTGATCTTGTGTTCTAAAAGCAGGAATGGAATATATGTGGTAATATTTTGTTAAAGTGACATAAGACAGATAATAATTTAACAAAGGGTAAAATTTTATCCAAAATCAAAATTTCATTATTTAGTATTCCTATTTTGTATTATTTTATGCTAATTCTATTGTTCACCTACTGTAGCACTATTTTAAACAATTTGGTGATTAGTGTTTAATGCTTTTACTAAAATCACTCTACTAATACCAGAATTTGAAATTGTTGGTGTGAATATTGCAGTATTAAATAAGAACCAGTATGTGCATGATATTTATGGCTTGATATTGAAGATGCAATTAAAATGTGATGTGGTTAACCCTTTGGTGTTTTATGTTAAAATTTATCAAGATGTCTAGACATTCATCCTCTTTGAAATAATTAATATGCAATTATTATCTCACAGTACATATTTAAAGTATCTAGTTGAGTGTTATTCTTTTAAGTGATTGTGTGTGAGAGTCTGCCTTTTAAAAAATGCTTTGTGTGATTTGAAGTATTAAATTCACTAGTTGAAGCTCATGACAGAAATGATGCCCACCCCAGTGACATAGGAGGTAACTGTGGTAACCTTGTACTGAAGCTGGGTCCAACACTACAAGGCTAGCAATCTGGCAGCAATAACTCTGACCAAGTCAGATATATATACTTGTCTGAAATACTWTAGTCTTTCATGAGCGATATCTTCTTTCCTATTTTCTGCCCCTACTCTATTAGAAAGTACAGATCATGGATGAAAGTTTATAACTGATAGTAGAAGATACAATTAAGTTTCATATTGGTCTATTCATAATCCTTTGCTTACTGTTAGTTACATTATGGCTCTACATTTTTAAAATTTCATTGATTTGGCCATTTGTCACAAAATGATGTTTGATTTGACATCAAGAGTTGAGATCATACCAAAGAATGATTTTTTATACCGAAAAAAAGATTCATATTTGATTGATGCATGACTTTGTTAGTGTGAATAAGTATCGTCTTCATGTGGGTGTTTGTATGTCTATATTATGTTATTGGTGGTGAAATTGATTTTGTTTTAATAMGTTTCTTCTATTTCAGATCACCACCACATATTTGTGGGAGATCTTGCAGAAGATATTGATGATAACACATTACGGAAGACCTTTGAACCATTTGGGGATATATCGTAAGTGATTTTTTTTCTATAATTATCATTACGATGTGATCATTATGAATATTATTATTTTAATATATAAAATTATTTAAAGTACATCTAACTCCTTAAAAATGTCATTTTTTCTAAAATTAGGGAAGTTTCTAAGTGCTTTGACGAAAAAATGACACAATTTCATTCAATTCCTGATTTYTGGCAAATGTTTTGAGTTGGATATAGGATGGACAGTCTCGAAAGAAGTATGAAAACGAGTGTGACATCAACCCAGACAATAATAGACAATACCTTCTCTGATATTTTGTGTGCTGTAACAACCCTAAACAACACATCGATTCGTCATTATGTAATTCAACTCAAAAATCTATTTATAAATAATACTCTACTACTGACAGTGTTTACATGAGGGTTTCACAGTATCTGATACTGGGTTGACGTCACAAGTCACGTGATACTGTAGAATTGCTTGTCCACCACAGGGAGCTCGAAGTACCTTTCCTTGCATGTTTAAAAATTTGTTAAAAAATCGGGATTTCGATAAAGTTGTGTCATTTTTTCGCCAAAATTCTAAGAAACCTCTCTAATTTTAGAAAAAGAAATCATTTTTCAGGAGTTAGGTGCACTTCTTGTACGTAATAACATCAATATGTATTATCTATCGTCGTCAGAATCATTATTAGCATAGACTTCAATAATAGGCTATGAAATGATATTCATGAGTATTTACAAATTAATGCTGCAGTAATTAGGAAAGTCTGCTGGTCTCTCAAGTATTGCTCTGTGTGTTATATAAACTGTACTGGTTCGTTGATAACGACATAGCAACTTTTTTATGTCATGGTTCAAGTGCATTTGCTCAGGAGTAAAGAATGTGTTTTATAAAGTTTCATGCATGTGACCAAATAAGTTAATCCAGTTGGATTGATAGCTTATTAATTATTTGAAGGTAGTTTAGCTCTGGGGGAGAGGGGAAGACTCCTATATAGCAATGTTCATTGTTTAAATCAAGGATCTGGTACTTTTAAGGATGTCTTAAAGTTTTTGCCCATCAACACATTTTTTATGGTAATGAAGTTGATAGATTAAAGAATCATAAACTTTTAAAAGAGAACGAATTCTGATTGAATCATGTAGAGCTGTGCCATCTTAATTTAATTGCTTAAAAGCTGCAATTAAAGGTGATGAGCTAATCCAATAATTGTTTATCACATTTACATTTAATATTCAGCAGTGTGGTTAAAAGCCCATGCCARTAAAACAAAATGTAGAACTTTATTGACCTAATCTGTAAAAATCCAGCTAGTATATTGATATATGGATATACATATACATGGCTGTGATGTACATATAGATAGCTTTTGTCATAAGCAGTATCCTGAACATACATATGTAAAATTTTCAGCCAGGCTCTTTGCGATCCATGAAATAAATAATTATTGAAATAATTAACAACTGTGAGAAGTAATTATATTTTTATTAAATTTRAATTGTAAAATAATGTTTCATTAGCAAATAGATGGTGTTAAACATTTTCACACCAAAGTKTTTGTACTGTCTTGACTATCAATTTCTTGTTTTCTTAAATCAAGACAATGGCATAGAACCTAACTGTTGTTTTTAAAGGTTTCATTGTAGCTGTGCAACAATGGCTATACCTGCAAAGGGTGGGACATTATTCAAGTAAAACAAAAGAATAATGATTAAATCAATTGTAAACATKCTGTTGTTGTTCTATGTGAATCCTTTGATCTCTGATTAATGAACTGTAGCTTGTCAATGAATATTATATTATGTTTGGTATATTATCAATATTTTATTAGCAGGTCTGACTTACTGTTAATATTTAACGATTTCCAGAACCTTCCATGAGGTTTACTGGTAGTAAATAAATAACAAGCAAAAAATATCACACGCATCTTAAAGATCCACTAAAAATAGTGATTAACAGAACAAACGCTTAAAGTGTGAAGCATAATTAAGGAGCAGGGCTAAAAATAACAGCCGGTCATCGGACAATGTCTGACCAGGATTGCGACTTGACCGGTCAAATCTTTGCATTGCTAGTCATTGTGACCRGTCACTTTTTAGCAGAAACTGAATACTCTTTAGACAGAAACRTCAAATTGTTCAAAAGATTTTCATCAAATGCTCAGATAACACAGATCTTGTGAACCTAATTTTAATTGTGAGAACGTGATGTAGTAATTATTATATTACAATAAATTGATTGAGAAGTTATGTCAACAGCTTTGAATTAAAATTCATAATCGCTGCCCAACATCTACACACAAATCAAGAATCTTTATTTATCTGAAATAGTAGCTGAAAATGATAAAATGTAATTTACTGTAAATGATATACTACTAGTAACAATTCAATATATTTTTAARAACATTAATATTAAACATTCAAGAATGAACTGCTTCAGTGACGATGATGAATATGCAAATTGCCGACCAGAAGGTAGCAAAGGTCAAGTAATAAAATTATTAGTTCCAAAACAATTTAATTTGTTTGTTTAAAACAAGAAGACAACCTTGGATCAGAGTTGTGTACGCATTAACAGATGCTCAAAAATTTTCCTCAAGTAATTAACTCTAAAATCTGTAATTAAGAATAGAGAACAAAATATGAGAAAAGTAAATATACTAGATACTTGTCGCATGATAGGTGACAACCCGGCTACTTGTTTGATCGTTATTGCCAGATTCRTTTATGGAAGTGAATAATGAAATTTAAATGAAAATGAAATCCAACATTGTAAAAGTATCACACATATTGATTTGATGACAGCTCAATACAGCGTATGCTGGTAATCCTCTATGCCTTTGAGTCGTTCGGTGACATTCGGGTGTTGCTGATATATTTCTTCAAATTCCGCTTCTGTAAAGTGAACAGGGTATGACTGAGCTAAAATCGATTTGGCCGGACATCGTGTTATTTTTAGCCTTGAAGGTGTTGAATAATCATTATGCTATATTTCAGGCCTGTGATAAGCTCTACCAGATCTTAGCCAGGAGTCCAGATTTTGAACCATATCTCCAGGTCTCAATATCTCATCATGAAAATTCCCAGTRTTTAAAAAGAATGGCAAACATCTTCTGGTTTCACTGGAAGTTCTTAAGAAAAATAGAAATATTAAGCCCCTAAAAACTGTCTTTAGAAACATCAAAGATAWAAAAAATTAATCGCAAGACAATGTTGGATGATTGCATTTTTTTCTATAAATGATTGTTTAATAGCACTATACTCTACTGTGTGAACAGTTCAAAACTTTGCACATTTTTAGTTTTTGCACTTTATCAATCCCTCTTAATACTGTTTGAGGTCTCTTTAAGCATATAGCTCAAGTAAGGAWAGTTGATTTGATTAATTGAGTTAGTATTGAAGCCAGTACAATGTTTCAACTAGTACTAGCACTTTTCTCAACCTGTACTTTAATCATTCAAAATCAACATGTAAACTTGTGGGAGGCCATAAAATTTCTAGAGTTCAATAGAATGATGAAGTTATGATTCTGGTCAAATTGTAATATCACATGTTTAGTTTATGAAATTATCAGTGCTGCCAAATCTTTCAGATAAGCCAGGAGTCTCCAACTTGTTGACCAAATCAAATCTCCAAGTCTCTAGACAACAACATGAATTCCAACTTAAGAAAAATCAAGCTGCCAAAGGCAACACAACTCAAAGATTGATTGTGTTGACRAATATGGAATGATACTATAAATAAAATTATAATACTTAAAAATAATAATTTTAAGTAAATGATTTATGAATATAGTTTTTCCTGTTAAAATCTTATTATTTTAACTGTGAGGTTCTGGATTAGTACGGACAAGCGCCAGTGAAATAAATCCCAGTCTAGCCACAACTATGACGTAGAATTTGCGATTGTAGCTGCAATAGTCCCGGGTTCTATTCCCAGGGGACAATATTTTTTTTATTATTTCTTCTTTATTTTTTTTTATTATTAATCACTTTTCCCAACAATTCTATTCTAAGAATGTGTTCTCAGCAACTGTGAATTAATAAATATCTGAGAGTTTGTTTGATTGAATCGCAACCAACTGTATCGGTGGCACTGCCACTGTTTAAGTGATACTRCGTGTGTTTGTGCAGCTGGTTTGCGTAGTATTCTCAATATCTAACCACACAATAAACTATATATACCAAATATTACAATAGAATTATAGTACAGTAGCGAATGAATACATTTTTGAATTGTAAACAACCAAAGGAAAATTTAAACATACGTGCAATCATTTTCAAAACTAATTAGATCGGCAACTCTTCTTCATGCTGCTTCCTTTGTTTCATTTCTTTATTTGCCAAAAAATAAATAAATTCAATCAAATATAGGACAGGGAACTTGGTAACAGAAAATTAGTGAATAAATTACTATAATAAATTAATAATTCTGAAYACAAGTAACGCAGGCTCAAGTTTACAGGAAAGTGATTGAGTGACTGACTGAGTGATTGACAGATTCGTCCCCCTCCAATAACTCTTTGATTGTTTCGCAGTCTTCGAGTTAAATATGACTGATATCAACACTTAATATACCATTATTTGAGTGGGGTTTTTCGGTAATCATAAAGTCAAAATCAAAATGGCAGATTTATCTATTTGCAAGGTATGGTGAATTGCATACAAGATTTTAAGTAATAATTATGAATTGTAACAACACTTCTATATAAAAAACKATAAGAAATGTAGAAAAGTTATTTTTTCAATAATATCCCAAAGTAAAAATATAAGTCGTAAGTAATGCACTGTTGGTCATCAAAATCATTTGTGGCACAAATAACACAGTCACTATAATAACTCAAATCTGTTAAAATTCTTGGAGAAATTGCCGTAAAAAATAGTTTTGAGATAAATGGGGCAAACTGATCATGTGCGAATCACTTTACAAAGCACTCTTGTCATCCCACATTGAATACGCATTAAGTAAAATAGAACCGCTGTTGGCTGTGTAATGCAATCAGTTGACAACCTGCATTAGTCAATGATCAGGTATCAAACTCAGATGAAAATGCGTCCCGGACACTACATCAATCATAGTTTGTCACCAAGCTTCCCAAAGAAAGCTCAGCTTTTTCTCAAAGCTTATAATGCTATTTTATACTGCTGTTAAATCAAGAGTTTTTATTTGGTGACTTTCATACTCTGAAACATTGTTATTGAGGACTTAAACTTTAAATCAAAACAATATTTGGCCAGGGTGCATAGGCACTTTAACTAACCATTTGTACATACAGGTCCTTGAGTAATTTCACCATTTTTGAAGATGTTTTAGATCAACATTAATAATAATTCATTAGTTATTGCCAGAATCAAATTTTCTAATTATAAATGACCAAATGCCTACAAAAACTGAACATTAAACTTACAATAAACCAATACCAGTTTGCCATGACATTAAAATCAAATGTCCAAGTCCTGCTCTATCTCTATTGATTTAGAAGTCTCACACTGATTCAATAAGTCATAGTGTTCACTTTTTCAAACAAGAGTGAACTGGAACACACTTCTGGAATCAGTCTACATGTAAATCCTAAACTTAATTTTACTATACAAAATTGCACATTTTTCAGTGGTGTGTGGACTGAACAGTGAGCAACTTGTGTACATGTACATGTAGTTGCAGTTATGATAATTTGGAAACTGTTGAATTTTAATTACATTGTGGTTAGCATATCCCCAAATGTCCTATTATCTCATTTTATCATGATGATTTGTAACATTGGGTCCATTGTTTGTTTGCTACAGATCGGTCCATGATATACTGACCTGATCATGGCAAAGGGAGTAGGATATCTTTCTTTGTTTCTTTTTTTCTTTCATTTTAAGTTTAATACAATCATGTATTTATCTGTTTTGGGATAAACCATCTACTTTATGTGCATTATTATCATTGCCATAATTTAATTGATGTTTTTCCATTTGTTTATTCCTTGCATTGTCTGTCATGTAAGGCATATTTAACATGAAAAGGAGACAATATAGACAAAATTGATAGTTTGTCATGAATAAGTTGATTATTGAAGCTCATCAGCTCTAATTTTGATTATTTTTAATAATTTAAGGTGTCAATTATTTAGTTGTTAATTGTGCTTTATTTTGTAGAGAAGCAAGAGTTGTCAAAGAGGCCAACAAAAACAAGTCAAAAGGGTTTGGATTTGTTGCTTTTGTCAAAAAAGAGGTAGATTTTGATATTAATATCTGTCTGGATGTAATCAATAGTCAATAGATATTGTGTCTTTGTTTCTGATAATAGTTCTTGACTTTCAGGATGCTACAAGAGCAATTAGTGAAATGAATGGTGAGATGTGATTTTATGAAAAATATTAATTTTACCCCCCCCCCCCCCTAATAACTTGTAACTTGCCATTAGAACGATTTCACATAACCGGATAAAGTAAAACTGAACAACTCGATCTGGGAGGCCAGTGTTGACTATCGTTGCCTTGCATATAGCGCAACAACGATATCCCAGTCATTAACAAGCACTTTTGGAAGCCTTCTAAGACAAACTTGCGCTCCTGCATRCTGACATTAATTCTCTTTTGCTTTAACATGTCTAAAACGACAACATAATTAGCCAACATTGCACAATAAAACATTTTTTGCTTTTACAAACATTCCAACATGCACACACTAAGGAAAAACACTTCGTTAGCAATAAAAATCAAAACATTTTTGTGTCTAGTTTTTGCAAACATGGACAACAATTTGATACAAGCTATTCTCATCGTGTAATGTGTACTAGCATAAATTGATCCATATTAGCATTTTTTATCCGGTTTTGTGAAATCGTTCTATTAACCCTATTCAGACTGGGAGAGGTCTTGTGAACCCCCCTAGAGTAAAATGCCAATAACTTTCGAACCAAGACAGCTACAGCTCTGAAACTTTTGGACTTTAAGTTTATCTAGGCAGATTTTGATGTACAGTTTATGTTGATATCGCCGTCCATGTTGCCATGGCAACCAGTTTTTGACGCAGGTTTTCAAAAAAGTAAAATATGCTTAATTCTTCATCTTTAAAGCTTAATTCTTGTTTTATTATGCATTATGCCTATTTGAGATTGCTCCCATTGCTGATTCTACAATACTATTTAGCTTTTTGACAACAAAACGTTTGGGGGGAGGGGTGGGTAGTTTTCAGTCATTTTTTTCAAAATTGGAGAGACTTTCCTTAAAATCATCAGTAACACTTCAAAACTCACTTTTTTATTCATTAAATGTTAGAGCTATTTGCCTTAATGCTTAGTTTTTTAATGGGATTTAAACAAATCCAAGATGGCGGTCCAAGATGGCGGATCCTAAGATGACAGATATTCTTGCCAAAATTGTTTTTTTACTTCAAAAACTCCTCAAATAGTCTCCTTCATGGATACCTGCGCCATCTTAAAAGGTAGCCGTGCCTTTGCACCAAAGCGAGACAACCGTTGAGCGTGCTATGATAGATACCTGTGAATAATTGTCTATAGGTGTGAAAGAAGGTTTCTATCATTGCACGCTCAACGGTTGTCTCGCTTCGATGACAAGGCACGACTACCTTTCAAGATGGCGCAGGTAACCGYGAAGGAGACTATTGTAAAGTTTATCATAAATTACCGATGTAGCCAAAAAAGTGAGATTTGGAGTCAAATTATTCAAAGATGACAAAGGCACTATTATGATGTCACACTTGTTACCATGTATACAAAACGAGCTAAAACATCACAGGAAAGCAGTAATGCCTAGATATGATACTTAACTGGTTATCTAGATGTATCATTTATAAAAATTACCTGAWATCTGTGACGTCACTGTAACGTCATGTAGAACAGGGGGCAATTTAAAAAAAAAATAGAATTATTATTTCCAAGTCATTTCAATAATAAAGAGATGATATTGCTGCATTTCCTATGGCATTATAGGCATTTTAATTATATATCGTTAAAATAATGTACATTATGACRTCACATTCACCCAAAACCTGAACAATTCTTTAGAAATACCAAATTTACAAATGCATAGAAAATTGTGCCTAGTTCTAGACACAAAAAAGTTTGAACACATTGTATAAAAATCCCAACTCACCTTCAAAGCAACACACAAGTAAGAGAGAGCACGTGAAGAACAGCAATCGCTTTTTTCCTGGAAATCACTCYGATAAATCTCCTTACGTGTTTCTAAGTTACCGATATAAACGCATGGGGGAGCTGGGTAGGGCTTTTGAATACAAACATGTTGGGGGTTTGGTAGGGCTGTTGAAGATGATTACAACTCACTCAAACCCAATGACATAGTGACAAGAGGCCCCATAAGGTCTTTTGTCACGAAAACATTGATCACATGCATATCCATATCGTCTAATTTTTTGTAGTCTAAATGGATTAATATATTTTGAGTAAATTGAGCAAATGAGTAATAGTTTATGATAATAACCACAATATAGCTTAAGTCGCAGCTTATTCAACAATTAATCAGTGAGTTTACAATTTTTGTTATTTCACAGGTGCTGATTTGATGGGAAAACCAATAAGAACAAACTGGGCATCTAGGAAAAACAACCCCGTACAGAGTAAGTGGAGTAAGTAAAGTATAACAAGGGCCACATCATATCATTAGGGGCTGTATGACTCTAACATGGGCCACATCA